AGTACTCCGTATATAAGATAATCCAGCTAACCGTTGAGCGTGAAAATTTACCCTTCCATATGTAGTGCTTTTAGGTATAACATAAGTCGACTAATAATTGAACAAAAAAACTTTCTCTCTCATATGTAGTCTATTTAGATATGACAAGATAAGCTTGCTTGCTAATAATTAAGTGAAAATTTTCTCTCTCATATATAGTGCTTTTAGTTATAAGAAGATAAAGTTGCTAACAATTGAGCGAGGATATCATCATATATGTAGTTCTTTGTAGTATTAGATAAGTTTGCTAACCATTAAAGAACATATTTGTTTCTCTCACACATAGTGCTTTTAGGTATAAGGTAAGATAATAAGGCTAACAATTGAGTGAAAGATTTTTTTCTCATATGTAATTGTTTTAGATATAACAAGATAAGCCAACTAAGAATTGAACAGAATAATTTTCTCTCACATATGTTAGCACGAATTTACTAATGAATGGAGTTATTATTTAACTAATATTCATTGATTTTAATATTTATTGTACTCACTTTTTTAGAATTATTATTTAATTTTAAAATTAATCTAATCATGGAAATGAATAAGCAGCAAATTCTAATGAGTAGTGTCAATTAATTTTTCCTAATATACTCTTCATTGAATATATATTTTAAGGTATTAGCTGATTGAAATACATTTTTTTTCGAAAATGTAGAATCCTAAAAAGTTGTTTCTATTTTAATATTTAATTAGATCATGAGTAAAAAATATATGCACCAACCGTTCTATCCCGTGCGTATGCACGGGTACTGTACTAGTCTATTAAAAAAGTTTAGACGCCGTTTGACAACACTGTTTTTCGGCTTATCAGACTTATCAGCCAACTTTTTTACCAAACACGTAACTTTTACTTTCGCACACTGAATTATGTAATAAGCAGTAAAAGTAAGGTTGTAGTTACTTTTCTGACCGTATTGGCTGAAGTTACTGTAGATGATCATTTTAGCTATTTTTACATATATTTTTCTTTATTTTATTACTAAAATCAGCAGAATCCGCCAATACAGCTACTTCAGCCAGAACTTCATAAATTTCAGCAGAATCGGTCAAAACAACTAATTTTTGTGCTACCAAATAGGCTCTTAGTGTCTTAGTTACACTTTTATCCCAACCATAGCAACTAATTTGTCCCTTTTCCCAACAATTAATGGCATCTTTCCTAAAAATTAACCACGACTGAATATTCTTGTTCTTGACTTGAATCTTAATCGCCCACCACCAGACACCGATCACCAGCGCCCATCGGGCGCTTCCGCAGTGAAAATATGAGCTCTAATGAACCCGATCACATCTCCAATTTCGGTAAAAAGGCTAAAAGTATGTAATGATCTCAACATTTCTTCAAAGTTTCTCAACTTTATGCATAATATCGTACTCCGTATGTAGGATACTCAAAGTTCGGCAAAGTTTCGGTTTAATTTTCTCAATTTTCCCTTTCTGCAGAAGTCCTGACAACAGGGTATTATAATTACGATCAAAGGTTCACAGTCTCTTCTCGGAGCAAAGACGGAGTTGTAAGCAGTCTATCCCTGTTTTCACTGTTTCTGTTTGGCATCAATCAGGGCTTTGTTTTATATTCAGGATTCTAAATCAATAGAATTGCTCGGGAAGTATTCAAATGCACGATCTAGAAAAGCTTCTCGACTTCATTATTAGGCTTGTTAAGATAAATAAAGAAATAAACTCAAAATTGCCTTCAACTAGCTCATTAGTAGACTTGTAAGGTATTCGTAAAAATTCAAATAAATAGCTTGGCATTTAATTCATAATTTTGATATATAGGTATCTCATATTTGAATATAATGAGCTTCAGTATGGATGTTTTCTTTTGGACTGTTATCAGTCCCACAGAACAGATCAAACCAGACTAGACCGGACTTATAAAATACACAGAGACCAGACATTTACAAACCAGTTCAGACCAAACCAGACCAGCAAATTTCAATCTAAAAGAAAACATCCTATATGTTTCATACGTTTTCCTACATGCTACGTATATTTGATTTTAAAATATACTTAAGAGTTCTTTTTTATTATTATACTCCGTATATATTAAGCACTTTAATACTCGATAAATTCTTTGAGCATGAATGTGTTCTGAAATAAAAGTCAAGGGAAGGCCATAGTTTAATATCATTCATATGCTCTATACAGGCCATAGTTTCAACTTTAGCTCACAAGGGAAGGCTCTCAACTGGAGATGTGGCAGCAACCTTGAAATGCAAGAACAGTACTATGCATGTCAAAGCAGACATTGAATCAAATGTATGCTCTATCTGTCTTTAATTCGTAATCATATTTGGTGTAATATTCTGACCAATTCTTGCAATACAGATCTCAGTGAGTTTGACCATTAATGATATTCTTCCATCAACAAAGGCTATTGCCTCATGTACATTACCTCATTATAAAGATGGGAAGGTAACTTCTTCTTTTGCATTTGTTGCAATACTGTCAAATTGGGTTTGGTTTGTTATAATGTTATGTTATTTCTATTTATCATTTTTAGAACTGCTTTATTTTGCAGGTTGAGGCTCAATATTGCGATGAAAATGCGAGGTTGACTGTGGCTATTGCTATGCGGAAGAAGACTCCTGTTATTGACATATCAGCAACAGTTGGCACTTCACGCATTGCTGTTGGAACAGATGCCCGTTACGCCTTTGCTTCTCAAAAGATTACAAGATACAATGCAGGCATTTGCTTGAAAAATCCCAATTTTGATATTTCTTTAATTCTGTAAGTTGTCTGTATTATTTTAGTTAAATTAGAAATATTGCACATAGGTGGTCTTTGGTCAGCTGAGTTTGGATCTAGTACATATTTTTTGTTTTTGAGGTATTGAGGACCTTTTTAACGTGTTGGATTCGTTACTCGTCTGCCTGTTAGAGTTGTGGGGGCCATGCTTAACTATACTTGTTAAAATGTTTATCTTACATCTGTTAAATATAAAAAATAGACTAACAAGACTAAGATATTCCTTCTATCACCCTACTAACATTTAAGATACTCTACTTCTCGCCCTACCTAGCTATCATCAAGCCATGTTTAGTAATAATAGTTTTAATAATTCCTGGTTGTAGAGCTGAGAAAGGAGATGCAGTGAAAGCAACATATTTACACTATTTGGGGGAGAAAAAGAGAGGAAGCATTGCGGGAGAGATGACGAGAAAGTTAACTACAAAAGAGAACAAGCTAACAGTGGGATGTTCATGCGCTGTCAATCCTCATACGACTGTGAAGGCGAAGCTCAACAGTCACGGCAAAATCGGAACCGTAATACAACACGAGTTGAAGTCTAAGTCTTTCTTGGAGGTGTCTGGATCATTTGACACCAAGTCCAGGAAACATATCCCCAAATTTGGTGTCTCCCTTTCTCTTGTGCCTTGATGAAACGTATTTTTGTGATTCAGTGCCAAATCAGATATGTAATATGCTACTTCTCAAGGATACTTTTAACTGATTCTTTAGATCATCTAACGTTGATTTTTGTAATCGTGAACAGAAAGAGAAGAGAAAATACTACACTGCATAGCATTATTGTTTTCAGCATTTATTTGTTCATTCTAATTTGGTTAGATTTGTTTTTGGTTACGTATTGTGCAAAATAAACTTACATGGATAATATACGTCTAATAACGATATATAGCCATATAGGCTTCGAATTCTACCGAAGAACGCCAAGTAGCAGATATGTTCCAAGACACAACATTAAATATGCTTGTCAGTTGGCAAGTAAATAAACTATTGACAAACTAAGAAAACTGTATCCAGCTTACAAATATATTTATGGTATACGGAGTACAATTTTGTAATTTGTCGGGTAGTTGCACTGAATGATAAAAGTATAAATTATTATTTGCAATATCATTGATGTTTTATTTTGTTTTTTACTCTGGGACCTGGGGTGCCTGGAATAACCAAAGGTTAAACTCACTCCATTGAATTTCGAACCCAAGATAAGGGAGAATGAGTCGGTGACCAGCTGAGTTGGACCACTTCCTCCATTGATATTATACACACACACACACTTACTTATAAAATACTTACTTCTTATGTATCTTCTACATTCCGCTTGGTGCAACCGCGCAAGGCCAGGCGTGAAACAAGACCAGTTTTGAACCGGCCTGCTGTCAATTCCAAAACCAAAATTGGTCCTTGTCTACCCAGCCGGCTCTGGCCGGTCCCAATCCAACTTCAGACAGCCCAATTTGATTTTTTTGGTTTTATGTTTCTTTTACATATTATTACAATATAGTACAACTTATATTACTTACACAAATGTCACTTATTTATTACATTATGGATTATGACAATAATAATATGAAAACTATAATAATTACTATAACATTATATGGGGTATAATACTATCACCGTCCCTCGATTAAAGTCCCAATTTGACTTTTGAGTCAAACTTGTTAAACTTTGACCGTCAATTGTTCAAAATCAACAATATTTCACACAAAATTAATTTTATTTGCTTCCTTATAATATGTATTACTCAAATGTCAATTACAAAATATTTATTGATGATCATGATAAAACGTCCGCCTAGGACTTGAATAGTTGTAGGGCCGAGGGATTACACAATACACAGTACTACATATATAATCTATGTAAATATTTGAGTAGTATATTATTAATAATACGGAGTATATTATATCATACGGAGTAGTATATTATTAATAATACGGAGTAAATTATATCCTACGGAGTAGTATATTATTAATAAAAATATGTAAATATTTATATATATATATACATACATATAAAATAGAAAAATAAAAATTGAACAACTTAACCGAACCAAAACCACCCAATTCTAGTCAATATATGGAACCGGAACGGGTTCAGACCCAGAACCGTGTCACCCCTATGTGAGAGTGAGACTGAGAGTAGTGCCCGACAAGTACTAGCAATTTTTAGAATATAGACGGAGATTGGGTTTCTGCGAAAAAGGACGGAGATTGGGGAAGGCTTAAATATATTACGGAGTATAAAGTATGGAGATCAACATTCAAACATGACCGAAAAAGAAGGCTACACAAAGAGGCGGGGTAATTTTATTGTCAGATACACCCCTCCAAAATTATTATTGTTCAATTCATTCTTCGTGTAGGTCTATGTTTGCTAATAAAAGATAATAATGAATTAAACACCAGAAGACCTTCAAACACAAGCAAACCCAGTAAAAGATGTACAATGATCTTCAGTCGCTCCAATTATCTTCATCAACACCCATTTTCATCTTTAAATTCTGCATTACAACCATCAAATTGGAGCACAATTTATAAGATTCTACCAAATACCCACACGCACGCGCACACACTCACATATATGTATATATATGTATAAAATATACGAAGTATATACATATGTTAGTATGCGAGTATGCATGTATGTACATATGAATGTGACGCGCACATATGCATGCTGATATAAAACAAAAACAAATATATATATATATATATATATATATATATATATATATAGAGAGAGAGAGAGAGAGAGATAAAACAAATAGGGATTATTTGATGTATACAGATTCATCTTCAATAACAGTTTTGGCTGGCGACCAGATGAGAATTTGCCTGTCATTACTTCCCGTATATAGTTCCTGCAACAAAGGCAGGCAGATAAGTTTAACAAATCTCATCCACCTAAAAAGTCATTGGTATAATGGACGAGCATATGAGAGGAGAGGTTTATACCTGCTCCTGAGAATTGTACCAACAACAATTTACATTCTCATAATGTCCACGGAAATTCATCACTGCCTTTCCCGACCATAAGTCAAATGCCTAAAGGATATTAAACAGTCAAATAAATTCCATACACTTAATTCGAATCTTTTTATAAATCACTGCCTTTCCCAACCATATGTCAGATGCCTAGGAGATATGTAGTAATAAACATTTAAATACGGAGTATATTTTTTACACTTGTAATTTGAATCTTTTTTAAAAAAAGATCACTTATGTAGACGAAATCAAGATTCTTAGTAATTTTAAGAATTGAATTAGCAGCAAAGGTTCTTACTTTAGTGGTCGTCATGCATGGAACAAAGACCGTAGTAGAATCATCAGATATAGCAACTTGTAGGGCCTTAGTAGTTTGAAGGCGTGCAGTTTCATAGTTTACAAGCGTGTTGCAACCAGACTCTATATCCCACAATCTCAACCTTGAATCCGTACCTGGAGTCATAAACTTGTAACCTAAGGGTCTGTTTGGAATCAGAAAAATACTATGGAAAGCAAAACAGGGAGGTAGATATAATTTTGGATGGAAGGAAAACAAATTATGGGAAAAATAAAACCAAATATTTTATATAAAAATATTCAGCAATTTTTCCCATTACCTGCCACTTTAAGAAGTCCAAACACAGCTAAAATCTATAGGACATGACAAAATCGTCATTAATTTCTTCAAATATTTGATGATGATGGAAACAAACAAAAATAAATTATGTAGTACAGAGTACAGACTACGGATTATAAAAGAAACCAAGCCAACCTGCACTTAAAAGGTACATGCCATCATTAGTCACTTTCAAACTACTAACCACACCATAATGAGCAGTGGCACGATCCTGAGAGGATAACATCCCTGGGTGTAATCTTTGCTTTGATGACCCTCTACTAACTTGTCTATCAATAACAGGCAGTTTGTGGCTGTTATTGGTTACCGTTTTTCGTTGTGATGGACGGGCCTTTATACTTGGTATATGAGTTGCTGATGAAGATTTAGCAGTTGAACTCTGCTAAGAACATTCATTAGAATATTAGAAAGACACAGGTAATTAACGAGAAAGTTATTTGGTTGTCTCAGATAAGATGGAAAAGAAAATGATTACGGAGTATCAAATAAAAACATCTGACCTTTATAACTAGAACTCATAAGATTCTCAATATATTATTTTGAAGCAAGTTAGGCTCTGTCTAATTGTTAAAAAATAATTTGTTGAGGGAACTGTTTCCTGGTGAAAATGTTTGCTTGGAAAATATGTAGTTCTATGCGTAACACATAATCAACAAAAGTGGAAAACATAAAACTGTTTCAGGAAAATGACTTCTCGTATTCAAAGCAGGATGCCCTTTTCCACAAAAGTTCGAAGAATGACAAAAATTATATTCCTTGCCAAACAGAAATATCCAGAAAACACATTTTCCATGACACAATGGAGTCTTCGTGTAAGTACCTTATTTGGATAAGAACGTGGAAGTAGAGGTGGGCGTTTCCCAAGCTGACAATGGGACTGATCTAAAACATGAAAGCATCCAGCTCGCCTAATGTCCCAAAAACGAATTGCACCATCACATCCCCCAGTTATCAGAACCCACTCACTAGAAACTGACCATTCGGCTGACATCACTCCATCTACCATAAGAAAAATAACAATTACAATTCATTCTATTCGTCAAGTACAACTTATTCTCACAACCTGCTATCTGCTATCATGTGTTATGCATAATGTTGTACTAACAATAAACCACTCTTCTCAAGTTGTCAATTAGGAGGTTCAGATATATGTTTTCTTTTTTCTTTTTTGATTAATGTTCCGAACTTATACTCCCTCCGTTCCAGAGTAACCGTCTACTAAGGAAAATTGCAGTCTTAAAGATGAAACATAATTTTGACAAAAATAGACAAATGCAGTAACAAGCAAAAGTGAAATAACTACGGAGGGCAACTTAGTCATTTTCCTGCTCCCTCAGTCCCAAAATGTGGTGAACTATATTTTCTATTTATTCTCTGATTTTGGCTATCAATCTATAATCATTATGTAATTCGATTGTTGCACTTCATACTTTTAATGTAGTATTTAAATATATAAAAAAAAGTCACTAACTTATGTGTGATCAAGAGGATATTAGTTTTATCATCATTCAACCTTAAACTTAAATTACTGTTTGCAATCCAAAGTAAAAGACACTCGGAGTACCATTTGTGGGATCAAGAGGATATTAGTTTTATCATCATTCAACCTTAAACTCACAAATTTGCACCTCTTTTTGGGACATACTACCTCCGTCCCCCTAAGTTTGGGACAAGAGAATGTGGCACGGTTATTAATAGAAGTGGGTTTATGTGGTTGATATTGAATTGATAAAGTAAGAATAAAGTAAGAATGATTTAGAACCACACAAATTTTACCAAACAAGGTATGAGACAATCTTAGTGGGACGGACCGAAAAGGTAAAATGGGTCAATCATAGCGGGATGGAGGGAGTAGTATGTTTTCTTTTATTGGTTTGCCAAAAAGACAATTATTTAAGAACAGAGAGAGTATATAAGAATTGACAGATACCTTTATACCCAGTCACCTTGTAAAATGAAACAACATGCCAAAAAAGAATGGGAGGAGAAAAGGAAAACAAATACAACCGCATCCTGAGAAAGTGAATTGATCTGAATGACCATATTTCTAAAATGTCCCATTATACATGTAATACATAACCAAATAGACAATAATAAAAAATAAAACAATGTGTACACAAAGGGCAGCATATACCGTGATGGCCGGATAAAGTGTGAGCAAAGGCGCCTGAAGCTATATCACAAAGCCGAACTTGTACATCTTCAGTAGCAGCAGCAATGAGCATATGAGATGTTGCCACAGAAGACATGGCAGTCTTATTAACCTTTCCAGGCATTTTGAAATTAACAGCCACCTGATACAGAGTAAAAGGATTTCAAGAACACTCTCTCAATGATATAAATGAACAAGATGATATAATTTCAAGACCTACACTACCTGTGTTGTGTTTGTGTCCCATACATTAATGTGATTATCGTAAGAACCCGTGATGAACAGCCCATTGTCAACCGGATACCATATGGCCGTAGAAACGGAATACTTGTGTCCATGTTCATGCCTTTTGTCAACAACGAAGAGGGGTCTATGCTGAGCTATCAACCCACAACCCTCTTGACCTGTTGCACGTTGGACATCATAAACAGCAACTGATGCATCCGAAGCACAGGATAGTAAATATCTTTGCTCTGTCAAATCAACCTGATTTCGTGGTCAAAAGGGAATGCCCACAAAATGCAAGTTTCACCCCAAGTAATTTTTAACAGCAGATTCTCTCATAAAGGGAAATAAGCACATAATAGTATAATACACTACTTCATATTTCAAATTTAGGTTTAAAGTCAGTTCGTTTCCTTGAATGGTAACTTCAGTTTAGCTGCCTTCAATTTGCAAATTACGAATAATCTAATTCTTTTAAATTGAATTAAGTGTAAGTAAATCACATCTAAACTGAGATCAATCCATTCATAGATAGAGTAATTCAGTGATCAAGTGGACTGAGTTGGAGCGAACCTGGAGAGAGTTAATGGATGCGCGGTGAGGGGAGACGAACTCTTTGTGATTGGAGAGTTGAAGAGAAGCGAGTCGGCTCAACTTAACTCGGCTGGAGTATAAATTAGGGCGAAGTTTGCCTGATTCTCTGTCCCGGTTTTCTTTCCACATCTTCTTCCTCGCATCCTTCCCGTCTTCCACCCACTGATTTTAGATCATCCACCACCACAGACCACAGTAATTCGAATAGATCCTCTCTTTGAATATATCGCACGCGCACACAATTCCGAAGAATGAAGCGAATCACCAGCTCATGTACCAATACACAGAACTCTTTGGAATCAGAACCGCAAATTTCAGAAAACTCGAATCTTTGCTCTTCCACTGCGTCGTCCTCTTCTGAAATACGAAGTACTCCTATACATATAGGGACTGCGGAGATTAGTCAATTGTATTTTTTATTTAATTTGGGCATTATAATTAGACCTGCACAAAACCGGCCCGGTCCACCCGGCCCGCACAAATTGGTGGGTTTGGACATATATATTTACTCATCAGGCCGGGCCTAACCCGGCCCGCAATAACATGTGAGCGGGCTTGAGTTGGAGTATAGGCCTGTTCGGATCGATTGGCCCGACCCGTTACATTTAGTATATATACATGGGATAGGGTTCTAATGAGAACCTCTCCTAAAATGAGAACCCCTTATAATGAGAACTTTTAATCTCTATCTTTGATTTTATTCAATCATTGGTAGGATACACATGTGATCCTTTGTGTAATTATTCAAAATTCAAACGGAGTACTTATTGTAATTGTTATAAATTTATTACAAAAAGGACCCATGTGCATTAAAGCCCTTGATTTGATATATAAAAGGTGGAGATTAAGAGTTTTCATTTATAAATGAGTTCTCGTTTTAGGAGGGGTTCTCACTAGAACTCTCCCCTATATATACCGATTTATTTATTTATTTATTTATTTATTTATTTATTTATTTATTTATTTATTTATTTATTTATTTATTTATTTATTTATTTATTTATTTATTTATTTATTTATTTATTTATTTATTTATTTATTTATTTATTTATTTATTTATTTATTTATTTATTTATTTATTTATTTATTTATTTACATGTACACATGTATTTTTATATTTACTAATTTTTCTTGATACATATGTATAGTTTATTATGTTTGAATTTAAATATTTAGTTTGTAACAACTAGCCCAACCAATATAATATCTATTTTGTACTTAAAAATAATACTTTATGATTGAATTTTAAATTTTAGATATAATTTCTAATTATTATTTTTGTGTAAGTATTTTTTGTATGTCGTGAAAGGCCTATAAACATTATAAGCGTATTAATTTTTTTTTAATGTTTTACTATTATTTTTAAAGTATTAAAAAAATTATACTCCCACCGTCCCACTTTAAGGTTCCCACACAATTTACGATGTTTGACTGACCATAAAGTTAACTGATCCCTGTTATGAATAGAATTATTTTTAGTAAATAAAATTTACATATTCAGAAACTACATTAAACCCGCTACAAAACTTGTAAAAAATAATTTAAATTTCATAAACTTTCGATATAAAAAGTAAAAGATTAATAACAATGCACGTTGACCGGAGAATAGTGTACGAGAACCTTTAAATGGGACGGAGGAAGTATAATTTTGAAAATTTAAAGTTTTCCCAAGCCGGGTGGTCTGGTGGATTACCCTGTCTGTTCTTACGGGCAAGTGTGGACATGGGGTTAGGCCCGTTTTTGTGGGTCGGGTCGAGCCCACCCACACATGATGGGCAGAAATTTATATAGAGTCCGGCCCGAACCGATTTTTGTGCCGGTCTAATTATAATAGAGTATTCTATATGCAGCCTTCGATTGAATCTAAGTACGCCGTAAATAGAACTACTGTCTTTGAAAGCAATCTTTACCTCATTACATTAATGAATCATAGAATCTGGGAAGTTTCCATCATTTGGGACTTTTTTTCAAAAACAAAAAAAAAACGGCATTTCACTTTGTTGATACAGGCAAAAAAAAGAAATCACTTTGTACCAGACTACCAGGTACTTCGGTCTCCTAGTGCACTGACATTTTGAATTTTTAGGTATCCGAAAAGAGAGATTTACCCAAATAGGACTAAAACAAAGTACAATTGCAAAAATAAGACCCCTGTGTTTTATTTGACAAAAATAGGACTAAAAAGAAGCCATCTGACAAAACTACCCTTAATGAAATAAAAATAAAAGGCACTGCTGCACCTCCTCCGATGATTTCTTGCAGCAGGACCTCCAGACCATCGATACCAATAATATGCTCCGCGCCAGTAGTCGTCGCCAAGACCTCTGCAACTGGCACTTCCCAGCGAGGCTCTGTCGCTGCACTGGCGAGACCGCCGCTGCACACAGTCAGCGAGAATGCACACATCATGCTAGATGGCTTACTCTAGCGTCATCCACCACTGTTACGTGCCCCCTGGAAGAGTCGACATCATGCACGATTCTCCTACTATCAACTCCAGCAAGCAGCAGGCAGATCGACAACCCCTTCACCAACACCCAGGTTTCCACCAAATGAGCAACAACAATCGACCTGCACCTTCTCCGTCAATTCTCTTGACCGCAATAGTCAGCACAACATGGAAGAACGAACTGCTTCTTTACCTGGAGTTGTAAGCACATTAGGTTGAAAGGCTTAAAGTTGATTGATGTTACAAAAAAACCGGGTGTACATGTACACCCAGATGTATGATATAAATTGCGTTTGACAGATATAATGTAAATTAAAATATTGTTGTGGTCATTAAAATTACTATTATAGTTACCGGAGTATAACAGAATAACATTTTTATCCATCACATTTATTTTAAACGTATAGTATATTTGCCATTATTTTATAGATTTATCATGCGTAATAATTACAAAAATATGTGATGTGGTGACAATTAAAATACTGTATATATTTTGTTGAAGACTTCAAGTAATATAATCCTCAGTTCCTCACTATTAATATGTTAATATGATCAATTTAAATTCATTGTGCATATTTTCCACCGTGTCCTATATTTTTACACTTATATTTTAAGCTTGTATCCAGTTATCCACTAATAATGTTTTCATTTGGACAGAATTTTCAGATACATTCTTATTTGTTCAAGTTTCATTGCACTAATCTATTTAAGCATGATCTCATACGGTCATGTATGATGTGAGAGAAATAATATTAGGTCACACCAATGTTAGTTGTAGGCCATATATATGGCTAAATGCCATATGTGATAGTATATAATGACATAAGAGTTCCTGCTTATATAAGAATTGTGTACACCAAATAACTCTACATAAATACATTATTATATCGACTCGATTTGTGCTAAAGAAACCATGCGCAGATTCTCCCGCAGAAAAATGAGATATTTGCAAATTGAAGCTGAGTAGGAACCTAACGTACTATCAGATTTCTATGAGGGCATGAAGCACCCTTTCTCATTCAAAATGATAGTCAATGTTAATATATTTAACGTGGGCATGTTGAATATGATTAGATGTGAGATAAAAGAGACGGAAACATCATATGAGATGTGAATAACATGTGAATTAACTATCAATGTGGTGGCACAATATTCAGTTTCAGTAGAGGAGCGAATGACATTAGGTTGCTTTTTAGAACGTAGAGACACCAAATTGAAAACAAGAAAACAACATATCCATAAGTAGAAAGACTATCAGAACAATCAGCCCAATCTGCATCCAAATAGGCAAGAATAATAGGATGTCCTCGAGCTTACTACAACAATAAACCACGAGTAGAAGTGCTCTGCCAACACCTGAACATAGGCTTACTACATGTTCTTTCGTTTCAAGCGTTTTATATATCATTGGAAAGGTCTTTCTGAGTCCTAAAACTTGTATTGAGACTTTACTTGCAATATTTTAAAGAATAGGTACGTATTAATCTGAAATTCATAAACATTGTCTAGTTCACTCCAAATTCGTGTAGTATTTGATTAGTCATATCTTGTTGTATTTGATTCTGTATTAAGCGTTTTATAACTCACAAGGAGGAGGTCACATATTTGAATCACATCCCAGTTCAAGAATGTTGGCCTTAATATAGAACCGAACAGATACTATAATAGGTTAGGAAACTTTGTTAAAAAAGTAGTGTTACAACACCACTTTGAAGACATTCAAGATATAAATCGAAAATAGCTATTTTTTTAATTTGGAATTGTATGTACTACTTTATTTGTCATATTTTTCTCTAGGTCAATGTTCTTTAAATCATTTTCATTTTTTGTTAAGAAACTAAGATAACTTTTTTTGACAAATAAAATAGGATAACTTTAATTAGTTTATATTTTTTCCACTGGCCTTAAGCTAAGTTTCTAACAACCTATTATATATTCACCATAAAAGATCTTAGTATATGTGCTTTTAAAGAGTCATACATGATGCAAAAAAACGGATATGACTGTTTCAAGTTCTTTTAAAATTGCACATTTTTATGGAAGAGAAAATGCTCATTTGTTTGGGCAATTCTTTGTAACTTATATAGTATCTGATCAATGTTCAATGTTAATGCCAACATCCTTAAAATGGGATGAGATTCGAACCCGTGACCTCATCCTTGGGAGTGCCACAGTGATGCTATCAGACCACAAGGTACTTGGCAGAAAATGCTCATTTTTTAAACACATAATTGATAAAAGAAAATAATCTACGTAGTAACACAAAATTATTTTGATACCTGATTGCTTTGATACTTTTTGTTTCTCATTAAAGTTGTGTTTTAAAAATTGGCAACTATTGGATTCACAACTTCAGATTTAAAATACATACTTCGTCAAATTTTGTATTTAATTAATTACTTGATCTTATACCTCCAAATTCCAATGATGGGGCCGGGTTAAGTTTTTTCATGTTGAATGTATTTCATTTTCTTTTCTTGTGTACTGTAACTCATTTGCATTGTTAATCTGAGCATTTGGTTATCAACTTTTTTGTCAAATCAAAATTTCCCAAGGATTTCAAAACAATTTATACAAAGATGTGAATTTAACTCACATATATAACCTCACAAATCACAATAAAGTTGGCGTGTTAATGAAAATTACTTGAAATGTGTGTGTTTCAAAAATACAATTACCTTTGCACAAAATCAAGAAAAAAGTATTTACAAATGAAATATGTAGATTCTGGTAACAGTTAAAACACAATTGATGATAGAATTAATGTTTTGGAGAAAAAATATAGAGTATACTTGATATATATAATTATCCATTGATTAGAAGGTAAAAGTTGAAGAGTTTTACGTGGGAGAGCGAACGGAACCTAGCGATTTGACTAGGGTTTGAAAAGGGCTGCAACAGTTTCGATATCCATTCGTCGGCGGTTGTTTTGGGAGCTGGAAATCAGCG